GTGGCGCGGCCGGAAGGTGTGTTCTGTGCCGAGAATTGGCTGAAAAACTACTACCGTTAGACCTACACTGCGGTTCTCTTCGCTCTTCAATATGGCATCCCTTTGTTTGTAATCGTCATAGCCTACCATAGAATCGTTATTTTCCTCATCAGGTCTCGGCTGCCGATGCTAACCACAATCAACGCTAGGGAAGAGGTTATCAGGCACAAAACAAGAAGCGAAGATGTCCAGATAATCCGAACACCGGCTGTTATCGTAATTTTGTTCATGGTCTGCATGCTTCCAAATCAAATCGCCTGGCTGCTGTTTCACTTTGGCGATGAATCGTACAAGGAACTGTCAGAGGCATTTTGGACCTGCGCAGAAACTTTCATGTTCTTACACTCATGTATAAACCCAATCGTGTACGGTTCTCTTACTCGGCAGTTTCGTCGAGGATACATCCGATTCTTCCGACACATTTTCTGCTTCGGCAAAGCGAACGTCGATTTCTCAACTGACTTTTCTGAAAACCAAACACGAGACAGACATTTGCGTCCAAAGCGAAAACCTGTTGTACTTCATGGTTCTCTAAAACTTAGGGAAACCGTAATGATCGATAGCTGTCAGGAAACAAAGCTGTAATGTCTAGCTTGGATTGAAAGAAAACTGCCCTTTAAGCAAATCAAGTGTTATTATTCTATAGAGGACCATAAAAGTCTTTCAACAAACGTGTGATTTTGAAAAAGTCGGGAACCACTCACTTAAGGAGTTTCTTTGCCACATGGAAGCATTACATACCTAGCTAGTGGAATGAAAATAGAGAAAATTTAATGGAGTTAAGCGATGACTTGATTTTCTTGGTATATCGGTCGAGAGAGTTACCTTTCAATACATACTGGTACTAGATATGAGCTCTAACGGCAGAGTCATTCAGAGATAGAGTAATTAGAAATAAGACTGGTATTGTTTCTCCCCTTCTTTTCATTCAAGGCCACGGAAAGGATAGTTTTGGTGAAATGTACCTTTCCCTTCGGTCCTTCGATTTGTTCCATGGGTGTGCCACGGTAAAATAGAATCTCCGCGTTCAAACTCAGTATCTTAAATGCTCCGTTAGATTTTCAGATTTAATTATGTCCCAACATGACGGTAGTATACAAGGTAGGATCAGATGTCTAGGATATAAACGTGCCGCTTCACAAAAATCCCCTTAATCCGAGATACGTCCCACTCAGTGTTTGGTAAATAATATTCCAAGGCTAAATGACGCGTAGATTAATTTGTTTGACGACCATCTTAAAGTTTGAGTTCTACTCAAGACTTCAAATCTTAAAAACCAAAAAATTTTCGCTTTTTCACTATAACTACAAAAAAAACTACACCTAAATAAATTTTAATCAGTTTGGTTTTTTATACTCTCATGTTAGCGCACTCCAAACGGTTACAGTTTTTTACCTAAGGCACCTCAAAGCTCTTGTATTACCCTATACTATAAAATGATACAACCGACAGTTTCAAATCCGTCCAATGCACTTGCATTCCTGACACTTTCAAAAAAGTAAGTCTACTGAGTCTTTGGCTTTATTTCAAGGATACCACGCCAATATTCGGTCATGAACACCTGGTCAGGGTCATGCTGTTCTCGTAGCTTTAACCAATCATTCATCTTAGGGTAAACACTCTTCAGATAATCCGCATTGAATGTGGTGTTTCCACACTTTTGACCTGGCTTCGGAAGGTACTTGCCCCAGTGCAGGCGGGCTCTAGGGATATCCAGTAGAATATCCCAGAAATACGAGAAGAACTTCCTGGGGTCGCACTTTTTGCACCCCCACCAGTACGGATCGACTCGCACCATGTCTTCCTGGTATGACATGCTCAGCCAGAATGGAGACCTCTTGGCGCCATAGATCTCAGTGGCAAAGTTGTTGGCAGCTTTTCGATTTTCAGAGAACAGCTCTTGCAGTTTTTCCATCACGGTTTGACATTGGTCTATTGGAACCCAGATCTCTGTAAATTTCACCCTGATGATGAATTCCACATTGATTTCGTTGTCCATGGGCAGAGCATGATACCAGTGGTCGTAGAACTCAGTCGGCTTGCACAGGGGGACAAATAGCCGTAACATCATACTAATGAAGCTATACTCCTTCTCTGTTGGGTCTTCCTTTTGCAGAATGCAGTTGGTTTTTGACAGTACCACGGCTGCCATACCTGCTGCTAATGGGCAGGACAAGATGGGTTTGTATGGTATAAGATCTTGGTTTTTGAAGGATTGCTGACCAACCCACTCCTGAACACGATTTAGATCCTTTTGAGGAAACCAGTTCACTCGCATGTATTCGTTTTCTTCAAGACTTTGTTTGAGCTTGCTCTGCCCCTTCATATCTGGTCCAAGCATGGAGTCAACAAACTTGTGGTTGGACTCTGACCCCTTGATAAACTTCATCGGTGGAAGACGGAATGTTACTCGGGTAATGACACCAAACAGTCCCATGGATACACCAACTGCATACCAAAGGTCAGTTTCAGGTTTGGCCTTTTGAACTTGTGCATTGCCGTCCACGAACTCGATCTCTCGGATGGTATCGGAAAAGCTATGCTTTAAGCTTCCTCCAGCAGAGCCAGTCATGATAAAGCCACCGATGGTTTGTTGGATAATTCCTCCCAGCTCAGGAAAGCCATACCCTTGGGCTGCCACCTGATGGACAGCTGAAAGAGGGTCTGTGGGATCTTTGCCAAGATAGCAGCCTCCTCCGATACGACAATACAACCATTTCTTGCCGTTTTCTTCTTCTGTTCTCAGTATTTCTACTTTTCGAAGGTCACCTTTCAGCTTCAGTGTAATGTCGTTCTCGTCATAAATGGCCGCATTTACAGAGTGTTTTGACCCAACGACGCGGAGAACCTTCTTCCCTTTCCTGGCTTTTGTAACAGCTTCTTGTACTTCTTGAATTGTTGAAACTTCTTCGGGTACATTGGGACATCCGTGGACTACAATGTTTTTTGCCTCGTCTTTCATACGATGCTCTAAAGTTAGGTGTGACAGACCAAATTCTGACAAATTATCAATCATAGGAGTGACAACTCTCCTAAAGAACTCGTTAGCCTCAGCTTCTCTATCAGCACCTGGAGCTAAAGAAAAAAAGAATGACATTATTCACTAAGCTAAGATGATATTACGTCTTAAAATCGAACCATCGATTGAATTGTTTCTTTTTTTTAACAACATTAATAAATGACGAAGTTCGCTTGGTGGTCACTCTTTCCAGTGGATGGTGCCTCACCTGTGGAATGCCCTCCTACTAATATTCGATGTATCAAAGATTCGCGTGTACTTAGCTCTTCTCTGAAGACTGAGTACACTTTGCAATCGTTGTTGTACAAAGTTACGATGTAGTCCCATTTCAGATACTTCACGTAGACAACGTTGATGCATCTTTGCAAATGTTAAGATTCTTTCTTGCTTTTGTGGCCATTGTTTGGTTAAATTGTGTTTTGCGGTTTTGGCTATTTTCTTAGATCCATTTTCGGCTTTTTTGTCCGAAAACTTCGGTCTTTTGCTTTTGGTGTTGCGGTTTGCGGTTTTCCGTAATTTAGCATTTGGTTTTCGGTTTTTGTCAAAAATACGAATGGGTTTTCGGTTTCGGTTTCCGATGTAGTTTTCGGTTTTTCCTGTTTTGTTTCCGGTTTCTCTTACATCTGAGCGGCAATTATGCGCCTCCACTGATCTCGAATGGCGGCTAAACCACTGTATACTCTACTTGTCACCACTATATCGGATCGTTTAGGGTTTCGATAACCAGAATGTGAAAATTGATCTGTTTTGACGGTTTTGCTTGCACTTCACGGTTTTGAATGATTTCTTCTACGGTTTTGCGGTTTCAAGTTGACCCCAACGCCCCCTCCTCACTGACAACAACACACACCCAGATCACGTCCAAGAAATTGGCACTAAGGCACAAGCAGTGAAGTTGCCTTTACCTTAAAGACTTTGAATTTCGACTAATAGTATGTGAAGGGTTTAACTTGTTTATCACATTTTTCGTCTTCAAAGACGACTTATTGGCTAAAACAAATTACAGCATCAAGGCTAAACTTTGACCACTGCAAGTAATTCGCATCCTTTAGCTTTGTTCAGGAAGTGTGCATGAGAGGACAACAGTTATTTTCGGAATAAATGAATCAAGGGTGAGACCACAATGTAGGTGTCTATGCAAATAATTATGCTTCCTCGCTAGGCCAAAGATTTCGTAAACGATACTATGCATACAGCTTTTTTACAGTAAGCAAAAATTCTTCAAAACCAATTCTTGATGTACAGTTGAAGTTCAGAGTAACCCATTGGATGGATCACTTTTGATTTTCCTGCAAACAGAAGAGGTCTCACTTACAAACCTCCTACCGTCAGGCCGTTAGACGCCAACTTTTGGCGTAAACGTCAATAAATAATCACGTCACCGCCTATTCAAGGACTGATTCTCCGTGGAATAATTTTGTAGAATGTGACGGCAGTTCTGAACGACTATTGATAGCTAATGACCAAAAACGACATCCACTTAATGGACGCAGTCTGATTGATGTTGAACGTCATTAATTTGGCACAAATTCTATATACGTTTATACAATGAAAAGAAATTCGTGACGTCAAACTCTTGGAGCGCAGTAGGAGTCAAAGAGTGAAGCAGATGACACAGTTTGCGAATTTGATCGCCTGTGAAAATTACCGATATCTGAAATGCCAAATATGTGTAATTTTAGACATAGTTAGTAGAGGGGACAAGAGCAGATATATATGCCTCTGTCACGTGTTCCTTTACAACTCCTTGATTCACGACTTGTCTTCTATCTCAAATGCAAATTTCATTGCACAGATGAGATATGCATCAGTAACCTTGAAAAGTTGGGTGAGACGTTGAAAATCAACAATGTGTCAGGCTTCACATGAAGATTTGGAGTGTGCTAGTAAGGGAACTAGAACTTTCAATGAGTCAAACGAGACAAAATCGCTAAAGACATCAACAAAAGTAAAACGAACTGACCAGTTGGTCACCGATTTGCCGGCCAATTCTGGCTCAACGGTGATCAAGCATTACATATACTAATACCCCATTCACACCAAAGCCTAAACATGCTTTAAAGCTGTTTTTTTAAACATGGTTTAACACAACAGCTCCATAGAAGCTGCTCAAATCAATATTTGGTTGACTTCAAATGTGGCACATTGAAAATACAATTTAGCAATTGCTTGAATCTCGTGGAAAATTTAGTTTTTCAGTTCTCTGCTTCTGATTTTTATTTAGTTAAACCTGGTTTAACTAAACAAGTTTTCTGGTGTGAATGGGGTATAAGACAGCCCTTGAAGCGAATAAGAGTTAAGACACTGATGTCTTACTGAGCGGAATCCGGTAATTAGCTAAACATTTACGTCAATCTTTCCAAACACTGCATTTAAACTCATCCGGCCAAGGCAGCTTTGGAAGTTTGAGCAATAATTTAGCTATCATATTACGCCAATCCTTGCAAACATTGCATTTAAACTCCTCTGGCAAAAGCAACTTTGGAAGCTTGAGCAACAATTTAGCTGTCCGAGATAAACATTAAAGCTACCTATTTCTTTGTTTTCGATTCATTTATGTCTGACGAAGGGCTAGCGCTCGAAACGTCAGCTTTGAAACTCGATACGTGGCCAATTTATATTATTAACTCAATTGATAAAATCTAATTATCCCCGTATATACTAAGACAGCTCTTGTGGTGAATTAGAAAATGAGCAGTGCATCTTGACTGGGGCATCGCGGGCCGGAAAATGCTGACCAAAAAGCATTCTAACTAGCAATTAACAAATCAGTTGAAATTGGAGGCTTTCATCGCTTTCTTTTTGAGATTATCAGGGGAAATTTACTTCTGACAAGTAGTATCTTTTCCTCGAAACTACGACTGCACTTGCACTATCTGAGAATGAACAAGTCGAGTGTACTTATACTTCTTTGTACACTGGCGAAAACTTCCGACCAGAAACTGAACGTCTGCCTGTTGCCAATTTGGCTCAGCAGAACTCTCCTTTAACTGATCAGTACGTACATAAATACCATGCCCACTACGCTGATGCCAATCCCTGAAAGGGACGACAATGAACTACTCTAAATCTCATTATTTCTGCAGTATTTCAACGGCATTTTAGCTTGGAAGGAACTCCAAAGCCCTGAACGCTTTCATTCAATATTAGACGCACACAACTTGTGTGGAAAAAAATTTAACGAGCAAGCAAATAGCGAAAAAACATCGAGCAAAGTCTGTAGTTCTGTTAAAATTATATAAAGGCCCTTGTTAAATCTATTTTGACCATTATTTTTTCCCGCTTAGGTTTTCTTTTGCTAAACGAGCGCGGAATGTTTGCCCAGAAGACAAAATGTAGATTAAATTGTTTGATAAAGATTAAACATAGGAAGTCGATTAGATGCAGTGTTAAGAGAATTGGCTAAACGATCAAACATGTTTGTTGAGTTAAATGTCGAACTTACTATATCGACATATGTTTTGTCAATCGAATCGGACCATGATGTCTAATAGAGTACCACTATTTATTTTACAACTCTTCCACGTTCCTTCGACGCCTTTCTACTAAACACCTGGCGGGTTCCCGTGCAAATGTTGCAATTATTTATTGTTGCTAGTTATTGTGTGGTCCTATGTCAGCTACTTCAAGCAGACAACGTTGATGCATCTAAAAAAGTTAGGATTCTCACCTTCTTTTTCGGCCATTGTCTAGATGAACTATGTTTCGCTCACTGATAACGGTACACAACCAGATCAAGTTAAAAAAATTGGCACTTTGTCACAAGTAGTGAAGTTGCCTTTATCTTACACCCTTTGAATTTCGATCAATGATAGGCGAAAGGTTAAACCTGTTTATTAAGTTATTCGTCTTGAAAGTCGCCTTATTGGCCAAAACCAATGACGAAACCGAGACAATTATTTAACCACAGCTAGTGATTCGCATCCTTTGGTTTTGCTCAGGAAATGTGCATGAGAAGACAGCAGTTGTTTCAAGACTATAAATAGATCAACTGTGGGAACGCACTGTTTGTATCTACGCAAATATTATTATGGTTCCTTGCTGGGAATATATAACGTAAACGGTACAATGCATACTCATACAGAAATATACACCTTTTTATAGGAAGCAGAGAGTCATGAAGTCAAACTCTTGATACATGAAAAATTGAATTTCAAAGTGACCTATTAGACAGATAGTTTTTATTTTTCCCGCAAACGGAAAAAAATATTACTTAAAATCCTCTTTCTTCAGGCTGTTAGACGCCATTGTGAAGGTGAATCTCAATGCATAGTTACGTCACCATCGATTTAAGGACTCATTTTCCACGGAACCTTTTTGTAGAATGTGACAGGTTTTGTACAACTATTAATGGTTATAAACAGAGTGGACCTGGAGCTGAAATGCAGGGTCTAACTGATGTTGGACGTCATCAATTTGGCACAAACCCTATACTCGCTTATATAATGAGCAAAAACTCATGACGTCAAACCCTTGATGGGCGGTTGGAGTTCAAACAGTAAAGCAGGAGACACTGCGAGTTTGATCACCAGCGGAAATCACCGATATCTGACCGAGTGCAGAAACGGCTTCTCCTGCATTAAAACCCACCAGCATATTTTGTGGCCTCTTCTCTTTGACTTTCAGAGTAAGAGATTGAGATTGAAAGGGGACTTGGCTTAATTTCAAGGTTTCGTTTGTAAATCCATCTCCTCATTTGCAAACTGATTTGGCCACTGATGTCACTCACTTTGTCTGTCAGTATTTTCACTTTATCTTCCATGTCAATCGAACGGTGTTGAGGGATTACAAATCCTTTGCAACCAAGAATCAAGCTGCAAGCCACATTAATTTGGATTATTCTTATATGGATCTTCGCCTTCTTTATTTTTGTTCCGTTAATGATTGTGGCGCGGCCGGAAGGTGTGTTCTGTGCCGAGAATTGGCTGAAAAACTACTACCGTTAGACCTACACTGCGGTTCTCTTCGCTCTTTAATATGGCATCCCTTTGTTTGTAATCGTCATAGCCTACCATAGAATCGTTATTTTCCTCATCAGGTCTCGGCTGCCGATGCTAACCACAATCAACGCTAGGGAAGAGGTTATCAGGCACAAAACAAGAAGCGAAGATGTCCAGATAATCCGAACACCGGCTGTTATCGTAATTTTGTTCATGGTCTGCATGCTTCCAAATCAAATCGCCTGGCTGCTGTTTCACTTTGGCGATGACTCGTACAAGGAGCTTTCAGACGCATTTTGGACCTGTGCGGAAGCTTTCCTGTTCTTACACTCATGTATAAACCCAATCGTGTACGGTTCTCTTACTCGGCAGTTTCGTTGAGGATACATCCGATTCTTCCGACACTTTTTCTGCTTCCGCTAAGCGAACGTCGATTTCTCAACTGACTTTTCTGAAAACCAAACACGAGACAGACATTTGCGTCCACAACGAAAAGCTTGTGTACTTCAAGGCTCTCTAAAACTTAGTGAAACCATAATCATCGGTAACTGTCAGGAAACAAAACTGTAATGTTTAGCTTGGTTTGAAAGAAAACTGCCGTTTAAACAAATCAATTATTATTATTTTAAATTATGCGTATTGCAATAATGAGATCTGTTTTAGATCTTCCTTTTGCAAGATGATATCGCAACATTTCAGAATGCCGGCTGCCACTCTGGCTGCACAGACGTTGTGCACGATGGAGTTCTATGGTACAAGATCTTCGTTTTTGAAGGATTGTTTACCAACCCACTCTTGAACACGATTCAGCCCCTTTTGAGGAACCAATTCACTCGCAGGTATTCTTCAAGACTTTTTTTGAGCTTGCTCTGCCTCTCCTCGACCTTATGTATGGTCCAAGCATGGAGTAAACAAACTGGTGGTTGGACTCTGACCCTTCGATAAACTGCATCGGTGGAAGACGGAATGTCACTCGGGTAATTATACCACTGAAAGACTCCCATGTAAACACCTACTGCGCACCAGAGGCCCGATCCAGGAGTGGGAATTTGAACTTCTGCATTGCCGTTCACGAACTCGATCTCTCGGATGACATCCGCGAAGCTATGCTTTAAGCTTCCTCCAGCAGAGCCTGTCATGACAAACCCGCCGATGGTTTGGTGGATAATTCCTTCTAGGGTAGGAAAGCCATACCCATGGATTGCTACCTGATAGCAAGCTGGATCCTGGAAGTTTGAATTAGAGTCCAGGGAATCTTCACCAAGATGGCAGCCTCCTCCGATACGACAATACAACCAGCTCGTGCCTCCTTCTAATTCCGTTGCCAGTATTCCCACTCTTTGAAGCTCACCTTTCAGCACAAGTGTTGTGACATCCTCAAAAGAAATGGCCTCCTTTACAGTGTTCGGACCCAACGACGCGGATGACCTTCCTCTCATTGTTGGCTCTTGTAACAACATCTTTAACTTCTTGAGTTAGTTGTAACTACATTATTTTGTACCCCATCTTTCATACGATGCTCTATAGGTCGGTGTAAATAATCAAGTCCCGGCGAATTATCGATAATAGGAGTGACGACCCTCTTAAAGAACGCTCTAGCCTCAGCTACTCTATCATCAACTGGAGCTGAAGAAAACGGAATTATAATTATTCACTAAGATGGCATTACGTTGTAGAATTGAAACATTGATTGAACTATTTCCTTTTGTGATGACGATGATGTTGATAATAATAATAGTAATAATAATAATAATAATAATAATAATAATAATAATAATAAGTGAGAAATGTGCCAAAGCCAGTTTCAAGAAAGGTAAACTGACTTCAACTGGAAACATAGTACTAAATGAGGATACAGAAATGCAAGAGTTGGACCAGAAGGGGTATAAAAATACCTGGGTGAGGATGCAAGTGATAACATTCAGCAATTAACAAATGGTAAACACCACAGCGTACACTATTGAGTAAAGGATGCACGCGGGAGGTTGCTAAGCACGAAAGAAGCGTAAGAGTCGCTCGAGGCGATAGCCGAGAGCGACTCCAGCTTCTTGAGTGCTTAGCAAATCTCCCAAGTGCATCCATAACTCAATAGTGTACGCTGTGGTGTTTACCATTTGTTTTATAACATAACATTGATACATTGCAGCAAAAGAGTTCCCTTTTATTTGACAAATCTTACGTGACCAGAAAAAACCAAGCGCGTGCGTAAAAATAGTCTTTGCATTTGCGCACGTCAGCAGCGTACACCCATGGGCAAATGGAGGACGCTGAATTGACCAATCAGAGCGCGCGCTTTACTTTGGTTATGTTATAAAGCAAAATGAAAGAGAAGATAAAGCCACCGTAAAGGGTTTAAAAGCTGACTTTTCGAACGTTAGCCCCTCGTCAGAGCGAAAACACTATATCGGCGAATTGAACAAGCCAGACATCGTAGTTGAAAGATTCAGTGAATTCCGCCTGCAAACTCATTGATATGACTGTTCTATCAGATCGAAACTTCACTCTAAAGGAAATGAAAAAGAAAAGCAAGTACAAAGACCTAGAAATAGAAATACAGAGAATGTCATATGAAAACCGTAGTGATCCTGTGGTTGTTGGTGTGCTTGGTACAATAAAGAAGAGGATGGTGGGAACCATAAAGAAAGTATCAGAAGCAGCTACTGGGACAGAGATTCAAAAGATGTGCATGTTGGGATCTCCACAAATCCCCAGAGAGGAGCTTAGTGTGTAAGCAGAATGATTGACTTGAGTGACTGATGCCCTAGGTGCGTGGTTTGCGCCCGGCTGATGCACATTAAGAAACCAGCAGACTGTGATAGAAGAGACGATGATAATAATGATAATAATAATCGTAATAATAATTATAATAATAATTATTATTATAATAATAATCGGCTTTTTAAGTTCCTCGTTTTGGGTAAATGGCCGAATTAAGGTCCTTTTTGTATCAGTTAAGTAGTCTCTTTATTCCACGCACATCAGTTTGCCATCTCCACCCGCAAATAGCAAAAGCTAGACGCGGCGGGTAGAGAGGTAAGGTTACAGCAGTCATAACAGATAATATAATAATTGTAAAGTAACTAACTAACTAACTACCTAACTAGCTAACTAATAATTGTGAAGTAACTAAGTAAACTATCTGGATAAATAAGAATTACTGAAAAACAAGCTAGGGTTACAAAATATATAGTCTTACAGAATAGTATTACAATCAAATTTACTCCTAACAGAACCTATCGATTATTAGTACATTGATTCAAGGATACAGAATTTGCCATTTTTTGTAGAAGAATGGGCACTTCAACATAATCGTCCTCTGCTTCCATTATCGAGATCAAAAAGTCATGAAAATTTTTCTTAAAAGCTCCTTTGGAGAATTGACGAAATTCGTTAGGAATTCCGTTCCAAAGTTTAACTCCAAACCTGGAAAAGAATCTTGATTTAGATTCAGTCTTGAAGTTTTAACATAATTTCCAGACGAAGAAAATCTGGTCTCCTGCTTGTGCTTTGAATTAGCTTTAGTAAAGAAGTCACAGATGTTAGACGGAGCATTCATGCAGGAATGTAAATCAATTAGTTTGGAATGTAAAACTTGCACGAAGCTCATTGTAAGAGTAACATCGAAATCAACTGATTTCGCTCGATTTCCAAGACTGCCTTGGGAAGGAATGCTATTTGATTTTGCAAAGTGATTTCTTCGCTTTTGCAGCCAAAGTGGAATGTACTTCTTTGTGAACTAAAGCCTTAATTTTTGCCTTTCGATTAATCACTTGAGGTAAAAAAGCTATACCAATGACCATATTAAACTCTACTTCTACTTCTACTTTATTACTCTTCAACGCTATTACACATGAAGAAGAGATAATAAAATAAAAATATAAGCACAGCTAATAAAAATAATAAATAAATAAATAAATAAATAAAATAAAATATGTAATTAACAATATAGCTATGCTCAAAAATAAAAACTTAGAAAAATTTTGTACTGCAAAAAGCTGAATAGTTAAGTGATCTAGTTCCAGGTGATAAACAGTTCCAGTCACTTATAGTTCTCGGAAAGAAACTATACTTGTAGTAATCATGATGTACAGGTGGTTCAATAAATGAATTCGTCGAGTAATTTCTAGTTTTCCTAATGGACAATTGATAATAAGACGGGACAGGCAAAGCAATACTATTGTTCACAGATTTATGGGTAATTTGTAAACGATGGGATTTTCTTCTCTTGTTTAGTAAATCCAAAGATAGGGATTTCTACAAATTGGACACGCTGGTGTTATAACTATAATCATGTTTGATAAATCTCGCTGCGCGATTTTGGATAGCTTCTAGTTTCTCCACTTGATTCTGTCTATAAGGATCCCATACAGCAGACGCATACTCTAAATGTGGCCTTACAAGTGATACATAAGCTGCACGTTTAATTTCTTCAGAGCAGGCATACAAGTTCCTTTTCACAAACGCAAGTGAAGAGTTCCCCTTTTTAGCAATCTTGTCTACATGAGAGTTCCACCGCAGATCACTAGACAGCAAAACACCTAAATAATGATATGGTCGAACAGATACCAGGGTTTGGTTGTAAAGAGTGTAGTGTTTAACAACCGGGGATGCACTACGGAAAACAGACATTTTGTAGCATTTAGAAGGATTAAACAGCATCTGCCACCTACTAGCCCACTGGCCTAGCTTGTCTAGGTCTCGCAGTAAAGCCAATATGTCATCATGATGAGTGATTTTATGATACAATAAAGCATCATTAGCAAACAATCTTAGTGTACATCCTAGGCCATTTTGCATATCATTAATGAATAATAAAAACATTAATGGACCAAGTACTGTGCCTTGAGGTACCCCTGAAATCACATCCACAGATTTTGAACTCACGCCATCAATTATGACACTCTGAGATCTACTAGTGAGCCAAGATTTAATCCAAGTAAGGGTGCTTCCCTGAATGCCATAAAACTGCAATTTGCTGATGAGGCGTTGATGGGGAACTTTGTCAAAGGCTTTACTGAAATCCAGAATGATCATATCCATTTGATCTCCATGATCTAAGTTCTTGGCCAGGTCTTCAACAGACAGAATCAATTGAGATTCACATGAATGATTTTTTCGAAATCCATGTTGGTTCGCAAATAAGATGTCATTGTCCTCAAGATGGTGCATAATGTGCCTATAAATAATATGTTCCATGATTTTACATAATACAGCAGTAAGGGAAACAGGTCTATAATTACATGGATCATGTTTGTCACCTTTCTTAAAAACTGGTACTACATAAGCATTTTTCCAGTCATTGGGGAGTTGACCTGACTCATATGACTGGGAGTTAAGGAAAGAAAGAACTTCAGCTATTTCTGATGCAGTTATCTTAAGTA